AGTGTAATTCTATCGTCTCTTTTTCGTCATCATCACTTGTATATCACATGACTTACTATTTTGACTTAATTTAGTTTTCTTTTTTGTCTGAGGCTTTTTATTCATATTCTTTAAATGATTTGTTTAATTTTTGAGATATTTTCAAAATAGCAAAAGTAGGCTGAAACACGTGTCAAATAAACTCTTCATCTTAATAATTGAGAATATCTTATTTCGACTTCTCTAACGGTAAGTCTTAATTTTCCGCATCAATAAACTGCTTGTGGGTGTGGTTGTGGTTGTAGGTTTAGATGGAGAAAATACCCACAACGACTCCCACATCCTCCACCGACATTCATCCATACCAACCCTCCCACATCCACACCCACACCCACACCCACCCTCCACATTTCAGCCTCAAAGGGGCTGCGCTAACAAGCTTTTTTTCTATTTTTTTTCTGCTTCGTCTTTTCTTTTCCCTCACTTGTTATGTTCTTCAAATTTTAACGATCGTGTTTCTTCGCTTCTTTCTCTTGCCTCTATGTTCGTTGACTCGGCTTCTTTAATCGTTTGCAGTTTTTTGTGCTTCTTTTTTCTACTGATGTTTTTTTTACTGACGGTTTTTTCTTTCTCCTCCTTCGTTTCGTATGTTTTTTTTATTCATTCTTCATGGCCATATGAGGAGAGTCAACATTTTAGCATATTGATTTTGTGATCACTGTAAAAGTTCATCGCATTTATAATTCTGTTTAAAGGTTACTTTTAATAAGGCATCTTTATATTATCATGTAAACACTTGTGAGTGTTACATGCCTTTTATGAATAAACAAATAAAAAAAAAACCAAAAAGGACGCTCTCCCATGAATAGGTGATCGTTTGATTCCTCACATATTTTTCATTACCGATCAATTGAAGCAAAGAAAAGAAACGCATGATCAATTAGTATACCGTCACGAATCACTCTCTATTAATGTATTAGCACATGCTTCTGATCAGTTTTTTCTATCGTAGTCTTGTTGAAAAAAACATAAAATGAGTGATACACAGCCTCTTTTAAATGCATCCAATAAAATTTCTGTCGATGATATTAACCGTGATGATGATCGAAACAAGAGAAAATTTTTAACCAATAGGTATGGTCTATTAAATAACTGACTTAGAGAAAAATGAATTTATTATTATTTGTAGTCTTTCTTATTTGCGGCGATGTTTCAATAGAGATGATAATCAAAATAAATATATGAAAATAGATAACGATACTGAACATGTTGAAAAGCAAGAACCAGTGGGCGCTTTTCGTTTAGTAAGTGTATTCAAACGAAATACAAATGATTGATTTGTTCAATTTTATTATAGTTTCGGCTTGCAGATCGTATTGATTTTATTCTGATGTTCACTGCTATGTTTTTCATTGTGCCAGAGACGGTTTGCATATCCGCTTATATAGTTCTCTTTGGTCGACTTACAGGAATAGTTGCTGTTAAATCTTTTGGTGACAATTGTGATTATCAGCACAAAAATAAAACAGCTCTAATTAAGAACAACAATACGTACCTTCAAGACATCGATCTCAATACATTCAGAAATACTTCGTTGCATAAGTAATGCACTAAAAATATTATTAGTTATTATGTGTTTTTTTTTACTTTGGTATAGTGATGTACATTTGTCATTAGCCTTAGTCACACCGATAGCTTCATTTCGAGAAGAGGTTATGACCTCCGTTCACTGGTTATTCAGTAAGTGAAATAAACGTAGTAATTTGATTATAAAAAAACAATCGAAGTTGTGTTTTGCTTCTTTGCCGATATAGTTATTGGTACTCTTCGATTTCTTTCCTGCTTGATTCAATATTTTCTTTGGAGCATTAGTGTGCAACGACAGAGACTTCGAATGAATATTTCTCTATTTCGATCAGTTATTCAGCGTGTAAGTCAATACACTTCTATCTATGCAAAAAAAATCACAAAGATTAATCCAAGTCTGTTCTTAGCGTATCTATGAATTTAAGACATCTTATGCTCGTTCTCTCTGAGAAATTCAAGCAATCCAGACATTAGCAATTCTAGCTAACCCACGAATTACTCTCTAAAAAAAAATTGGTTTTCTACTGAACCCCGAAAAAAGGTTCGGCAGTTTAGAAATAGCGTCGAAATGGTTGGAGATGCTTAAAAAATGATTATTTAGTTCTGCAAAACCTTTAAAGGTTCTTCCCCTTGATACACGGGCCGAACCTTCTCCTACGAAACCTTTTTTTAAGTTCCGTAGTGCAAAAATAGGTTCCGTAAGAAAACACGAAACCTATAGAGCCTCGTATTAAACCTCAGTGGTTTCGTAATAAACCTGAATGGTCTGAGAGTTTCTTCTACGGAACTCTAGGGGTTTCGTATTTTCTTACGGAACCTTTTTTTGCACTACGGAACTTAAAAAAGGTTTCGTAGGAGAAGGTTCGGCCCGTGTATCAAGGGGAAGAACCTTTAAAGGTTTCGCAGAACTGAATAATCGTTTTTTAACCATCTCCAACCATTTCAACGCTATTTCTAAACTGCCGAACCTTTTTTGGGGGTTCAGTAGAAAACCAATTTTTTTTAGAGTGTAGGCTTAAGTGTTGTGATAAAATTTACACATACCTAGATCTTTTTCGGTTTCTTGGAGTTCCAGACCTACAGCTCGGTATATAGAACAACAGTATAAATGTATTCACGAGCGCTCTGTCACCTACGTATCAAAAGCTTTCTTAGAGGATTATAGAAACGCAATCAATTGGGAATATTATAGGCCAACAACATCTATTCAGTGCTTTTTAAGGAATTTTCAACTTGAGTAGATGATGCTTTTACCGTAATAAAGGAAAACATTTTCATTATTGATACACTTTTACAAATATTAAAACGAGAAATATTTCGGGAAAAGAAAAGTTGGAATAGTGTAAAAAAGCTTACCTCTGTCAAAGATGCGTCACTTCAACTCAGCGTTGGTTTTTCCTCTACCGTAGGAACAGTAATATGAAATAAAATGTGCATTTGTGTTTAGTTATGTGCCGTACCACGTGTTAAGTCACGTGTTCAGATATACTTATGGAAGCATGTCAAATGAAGTTTGACCAATGGTTTTTAGAGTCGGAAAATCCGAATTTTCAACCAGATTTTCAAAATTTTGAACTGTATCTTCTCAAGCAACGAAGTTTTTTTTGGGGAAAATAGGGGTAATTTCCTTTAGCGTAACGACGATGAAACGAAATTATAGAAATGTATATGTGTTCTTATTTTTGCTCGGAATTTTTCAGTGATCTATAGGCATTGATGCATAAAATATCAGGCTAATTGTACGTCGTGATCATGTTTCGGGTATCTACTATGGTCGAAACTGATTTTCTCATGGTAGGAATTAAGTAAATAAGACATTTTCAACGTCGTATTCTGTAGTAATAAGATATTTCTTCATGATAAAATTCTAAAAAATAAAGTGCGTTTACTACGGCAGTGTTCTGCGATCAGTCTTTGATACGTTGGAAATTTTGTGAAGCAATTTTTGTAGATTAGAACTGCTCAAGTAATACTGGGTGTGCTCTGAAGATTTGAGTGCTTAATTCTTTTTTCGTGTATGAGTTACTTACAATCAATCGTCGGAGGGTAAAGGTTCAGTAACAATTTTTCTTTTGTATAACCCTCAATCAATCAAAGTCTCGATGTAGAAAGTGAACTAGAGATATTTGCGACTTTTTATTTGTGGTCCGTGATAGTTCTTCTCTTTTAAGATTTAGCTATGATTTGTCTGCTCATATTGAAATTTATTTTGCAAAACTACAGCATGTTCTACTTAGGAATGTTTTCCACAAGCTGTAAAACTTTCTGATATTAATCAAGAATCTTCTCATGATAATTCAATATTTATATTAAAATTTCTAAAAGTAGACGTTGCTTGATTGTGAACAAAAATTAGTCATTCAGCACCGTGGACGCCAGGAAGGCAGTGGCTAGCCGCTGCTCTGTAAAATCTACTGAAGAAATACTTCCAGCTATTAGGCTTCATAGGAAAAATACCTATGGTCTACATTCGGTCGGTTTCATAAGTGGCCAGCAGTGATAAAAAGACAATTTTTTCATATGATGCGTGTTCAGCGTTCCCCGGAAATCCGATTAAATAGTAGGGTAGGAGATATAGGAGATATTGATTAACTAGTGCAGAGAAACATTAAATAATGCTTGACTTTTAATAGCGATCTATTTAGATATATTCTTGCAACTTAACCATCCTTGCTCGAAAAAATTAATCATAATAAATAAGTAACTGTTTACTATATATCCCACATCTCCTATATCTCTTATCCGTGTGTTTAATCTAGTTTCCAGGAAACACTGACAACGCATGTCATCGATTTTTTTTGAACTAGAGGGTGTGGATATGGGTGTGGGTGTGGTCGTCAATAATATTACCCACACCCACGCACACACCTCAAATTCACTCACACGCACACTTCAAACTCGCCCACAGCCATGAGCACACTCCACACCCACACCCTCTTTATAGGACCTAAATTTTTTTATGAATGTCAATAGAATACTTGGAAGCACGTATGGACAAAAAGTTATTGAAGTCAGACACAGAACATAAGGAAAGATTTTCTCGTTAGATCACAGTTAAAATGAAACTTGATTTTTGATTGATGCAATCGGACTGAAATTGGCGTCGACTGAAATCGGATTCGAAATGAATTTCGAAATGATCATTCTTTCTCAATCAATGTTGAACTTCTGTTGACTTGGTAACTTTACAAGTAAAAATAAAAAGTTGAGAATAAAAACACGGATTGCAGAAACAAAGGTAGGAGTATTCAACTTTTGAGACAAGTTTTCGTGTACTATGGCATTTTACACCGAAAATTGCAGTAGGAGTTTCAAAAAACTTAAAAGATTGCAGTTGGATTATAGTTTGAGAAATATAGATTGGATGAAATTGATTTAACTCTGACTGTTTCTCTTGCTTTATCTCTATCTATGTTTTTTAGAGCATTCCTTATATGGATAGCCAACCGACTATTCAAATCAATGCTGAACTCTTTGAGTAAGCTACTACGATGAGTTTTATCAAATGACAGCATCTAGTTCAACTCTTGTGTAGTAATATTGAAAAAGTCAAGAAGGGAATTGATTTTGGATTCTTAGTATTGATCTCAAGATTACTCAGTATGATCGGGTGTTTATTGATATCTTTTCTTGTCAACTGGCAATTGTCTTTGATCATGTTATGTTTCTTACCTTTGGTCATTACTAGTTCATTTATGTTTTCTAAGGTATGAAATATTGTTTGATAAATAAAATCTGTATGAATTATTACAGTTCACTGCTAGTGAAACGATAAATGAGTTAAAGACGTACGCGAAAGCAGGGCAAATCGTTCAGGAAGTGTTTGGCTCATTGCGAACCGTTCTATCTCTAAATGGTAGCAAATTTGAGCAAAAGCGGTAAACAAATATAGAAAACTAGGTCATTTATCTAATATGATAAAGTATTTTGTTATTTTAATTACATTTAGATATGAAAGAGAATTGCATCCAGCTCATTGGAGTGGTATGCGTCAAGGTGCGATGTTTGGAGTTTTTATTGGATGCCTATATCTGATAGACTACATAGCTTATGCAGTTGGTTTCATCTGCGGCTCCCAACTGAAGACAGGCAAAGATCGTCATGATCTGTACATAGGTGATATTATTGTCGTGAGTAGTTCATATTATTCGTTAAGAAGGAAATGAATGTACGGCTATTATTATGGTATAGGTTGTTTCCAGCTGCACAACATGTATGGCTTTCCTCAGTTTGTTTGGTCCTTTTTTTCAATCATTGTCAGAAGCTCGAGGTGCAGCATTATCAGTGTTTCGACTGATTGACAAAGTAAATCTGAGTAAATTGAGGTCAAATAGCGAGTATCATGCTATGTTTTTATTTACATGACATAGGAGGATGATCCAAATGCTAATGAAATAGATGTTTTGAAAGATGATACAGAATCAATTTATGATATCAATGGTGATATTGAATTTAACAATGTCAACTTTACTTATCCATCTCGAAAAGAAGCATCAGTTCTGCGTAATCTCTCTCTTATTGCTCGTGCCGGTCAGACAACTGCTCTCGTAGGCTCAAGTGGCTGTGGTAAGTCTTGACAAAAAATGAAAGTGTTAAAAGGCTCTCATTTCCATACATAATTTATTCACAGGAAAAAGTACATGTATGTCACTTTTTCTTCGTTATTATGAACCCTCATCGGGTCGAATCTCGATCGATGGTCGATCACTAACAGACTACAATGTCAGACAACTTCGACAAAACATTGGTGTTGTTAGTCAAGAACCTGTATGCTTTGCCTTTCCTTTTTTCTTTTCTTCATTTCTTTGTAATTTACTGTGGTGACAGATTCTGTTTGGTATGAGTATTTATGAAAATATTCGTTTTGGTAAAGTAAATGCAACAGGCGCAGAAGTTGAGCAAGCAGCACGACAAGCAAATGCTCATAATTTCATCATAAAATTACCAAACGTTTGTGCTTTATATTAATTTTTATCTACACATATGCACCAGTATTCCCTATTTAGAAATATGAAACGCTTGTTGGTGAAGGTGGTATACAATTAAGTGGTGGTGAAAAACAACGTATTGCATTGGCTCGTGCTCTTGTCAAACAACCTACCTTCCTTTTACTTGATGAAGCCACAAGTGCTCTTGATAATGTTAGCGAAAAGATTGTTCAAGAAGCGCTTGATCGAGCATGCAAAGGTAAGGATTGACTTTTCTGTTAATCATATTGATTCAATACTCTGTATAGGTCGAACGACTATTGTTATTGCTCATCGTTTGGCTACAATTAAAAATGCTCATCAAATATATGTATTAGATAATGGCACTGTGCTTGAGCAAGGTACACATGAAACATTGATGACAAAAGAAGGAGGCAAATATCAATCAATGATCAAACGTCAACAAATGGAAAGAATCAATGATGATAGAGATGATATGATGAGCACGCAAAAAGCAAGAGAAGAAGATGAAAAGTCAATAAGTATGCTGATATTCTCATTGCGAGGGTCTTCAAAGTTCGTTGTCTCTTTTATTGAATAGTTGAACGCAGTCATTTGCTTAGCGATAGTCAAATGATTGATCTGAACAAAGTAACCAATGTTGTTTAAAATATTTATAAATGTCATTATTAATAATCTCTGTTTTAGCAAAGTTTAAAGTCATCACGAAAAAGATTTGTCTTTTTAAGACTCTTGTCAATGAATAGTCCTGAATGGATCATCATCTTGATTGGTTGTATAGCATGTGCACTTAATGGAGTGGCTCAACCAATGTTCGCATTTTTACTTACTAAAATAATCGATGTGAGTGATTGACTGATCAAAATATTGCGTAAATTGATGAACAACATACATTGTTTCATGCCGATTTGTTTCTTATGTAGGCATTCCAATATTGTGCAACCTCTGAACGACGTCATCAAGTGCTAATTTCCAGTTTATTTTTTTTACTTTTGGGTTTTCTTGTATCGATTGTCTATTTCTGCCAGGTAAAAATGCTGCCCCTGAATAGGACCAACCATTTATTCACTTTTTTCTGTAGTATACAGCTTTTGCCGTAGCAGGATCAAAATTAACGCAACGTATTCGTTTAAAAGCCTTCGCATGTCTTCTTCGTCAAGAAGTTGCTTATTTTGATCGACCAGAAAATAGTTCTGGTGCAATTTGTACTCGTCTTTCTTCTGATGCATCAGCTATTCAAGAGATGACTGGTACACGATTAGGAATCATTTGTGAAGCTCTCGCGTTGTCAGTTTTTGGAATTAGTTTTGGGTGCTTCATAAGTTGGCAATTAACAATGATCGTCTTAGGTTCCTTCTTTATCCTTTGCATAGTATCTTGTGGAGATGTGTTGGTAGATGTATGGATGAATCGACAATCCGATCAAATTGTCGAACGAGCCAGCACGGTAAAATCAGGTTTCAGCTAATAATCTTTTCATAGAGGGAAAACTAACATGGCATGAATTGTTTCATAAATGAAATGAATTGTATACAGACTGCATTTCCCTTTTGCAGCTTGCTGTTGAAGTTATTCACAATATGCGTACAATAAAACAGTTGTCGATAGAAAAGGAAGTTTTACGACAATATTCTGAACTTATTCATCAAAGATTTATGTTGGTCATCCGACAATTATACATGTATAAATTTTTAATCGATTTTGTTTTGTCATAGATTGTCTTGCAAACCTTTGATACTCAATTCAATCGCGTATGGCATATACTGGTCACTAGATATATACATTTCGGCATTCTTGTATTGGCGTGCTCTGGTTCTTGTTGAAAAGAACAAACTCGCCTTGAACGATATTATAATGTGATTGAAGCTTCAGTTGAATAATCTAGAGACAATATTTTTTTATTTTTTGAATTTCTAAGGGTCTTTGCTTTTGCCACTTTTTCGATGGAACAAGGAAGAATCATCGGATTGTTGTAATACTTTCAGTCTCTACTTTGCTTTTTTGTTTTGGACTTTCTTGGTTGTAGGTCTAGTTATATTGCTGCAACAGTCTCGGCTGCTGAAACATTTTTTGATCTATTTGATCGAATACCATCTATCGATAATACATCTACTGAAGGACAAGAACTAGTAAGAGAACATTGAAGACAACTATTTTCTTTCAATCATGTACATCTAATGAATGTAATATGCTTCGTATAGGTTGATTTTCATGGAGATATAACATTTAATCAAGTCAAATTTATCTATCCAACTCGACCAACATCTATTATTCTTAACAAATTTCAACTGACTATCAAGCCAAGTAAGTGAGATAAGTTTCCACATAATTGATGAAGTTAACATTTTCATTGACTCATGAGGTCAACGTGTGGCTCTGGTTGGTATGTCAAAATTTAATCCTTCTTTTAAATGTTAATTACTCAATATGTTTCCTATAGGGACATCCGGATGTGGAAAATCAACAATTATTCAACTATTGGAACGATTTTATGATGTTACAAATGGTCAACTAGTTAGTATTTCTGTGATGTATAATTTAAGTATTTATATAAAATTTGTTGATCAATTTAGCTTCTTGATGGTATTGATATTCGACAACTAAATCTTCATTGGGTACGTTCTCATGTCGGTCTGGTCAGTCAAGAACCAATTTTGTTCGATTTAACGATCGCTGAAAATATAGCATACGGCTTAGAAAATGTTTCAATGGAGAAAATTATTAATGCAGCACGTAGAGCTAATATTCATCAATTTATTGAACAATTGCCCCAGGTTAAGCAAAAGAAAATTATATCATATATCTATTACTATTGTATGATAATTATTTTAGGGTTATGAAACAAAAGTAGGGTTAAAAGGTAGTTTTCTGTCAGGTGGTGAGAAGCAACGCATTGCTATTGCTCGAGTTCTTCTTCGTCGACCTAAAGTATTACTCTTGGATGAAGCTACAAGTGCTATGGATTCACACAATGAACAAGTATGCTTACTTTTTTCTGCTTATCAATCAGTATCATCTTCACTTTTCAATGACAGATTGTACAAGAAGCTCTTGAACAGGCTCAAACAGAAGACCCTACTCGAACATCACTTATAATTGCTCATCGTCTTTCAACTATTCGTGCATGTGATTTAATTTGTGTACTTGATAGAGGAAATATAGTAGAGAGTGGTACTCATGCTGAACTGACACAACGACGTGGACTTTATTATAGAATGCTTGATCAAAACAATTTATTGTGACCATATTTTGAAAATGAAACTACATTTTGTTCGACAAAAAAAGAAACTTTGCCTAAGGAATTTGACGCAACATATAGTTGTTTTTCCTCACTTTAGTGTACGATTTTATTGATTAATAAGAAGTTGAGTGTTGAATTAAGCTACATACAATCACATCAATTGTATTAAACTTATTAGTCACATCTGAATATAATACAAAAAAATCATGATCTCTATAATTACATCAAGTTCAATTAATCTACAGAAAAACAATTCATCGTGAAAAGCGCAATCTTGATACTCTTTTATAATAGCAAGAAATGATGATAAAAGCTTGTTAGTGCAGTTCCATTGGGACTAAAATGTGGAACTCACGTATGTTCTTCAGCTTCATTATGCTAATATGAAATAAAAAAGAATTTTTTTATTTTCTGAGAGGCGCCCTCATTTTTCGTTTTCATCGCTACTATTCTCTCACTATTTTCAATTTCCGTAATTGTTTTTTTGATTTAACGTTTTTATTATTATAAGCATTCAATTATATGGCAAATGAAATTGTTATATATATGTTGGAGTAGAAATTAAAATTTTAAGTTGTACTAGGAGAAATTGTGATACCGTGTAATTTTAAGCTCTCCTAGTAGATATTAAAATTTTAATTTCTGCTATAGGAGAATTTTAAATTCTACTAGACAATTATATATGATAGAATGGATGTCATCTATAATAGAAAATAAAATAAATGTTGACACAATACAGATCTACAGCAGGATATAAATTATTTATTTGTCAAGTAGACAGTAATAAGGATCATTTAGTGTATCAGCTAGTTTACATTTATATATTTGAACAAGATTTCTTTTTGGCAGGATGGCACTTTGTACCACATGGTAATTTAGCTACCTTGCAAGGACATATTTTTGTAGCACAACCACCATTACAAGAACAAGCTTTCACCACTGAACTTAATCCGTCATTAACATGATCTTTACAGGCTTGGATAAATGTTTTTGTAGGTAATATTTGAGAATCGGTGACATGCAGTTCTGGGAAAAGCACATTTTGTTAAATCGAGAAGATCATTTGTATAATACCTCGAAGAAATGACACGTTTAGTCGTACAAAGACAATAAGTATTAATATTGTCTGATGATAACTGTACTGAAATGACTTTACAAGGTAACATTTTTGGTGTTCTGTTGGTTCTATCAACTTTATCGATTTTTAATTCAACTAAATCTCCAACTTGGAATTGTCGTAAACGTTGAGCATCATCATATAACCTTAGTGGGTGTGGGTTAGTGAACTACACCGGAGTCCTAAACCCAATTCCGACTCCGACTCCGGCGGAGTCGGAGTCGGAATCGGAGTCAAAAAACAGAAATTCTCGGAATCGGAGTAGGAATCGGAATTAAGACGAAAAAAATTTCGGAGTCGGAGTCGGAGTAAAAAAACTCAACTGAACTCCGAATTTCGAGCTTGTCTCTGGTGGGTTCACCTGTTTAATATTGAAAGAAATTTTTTTAGAAGTTACTGTTGAACGAGAGAACCTTTTCAGATACTCTTCAGATTTCAATGAATTTTCGTCTACAGATGTTACAAAATGTCCTGGTAAAAACCCTGAAAAAATATGGATTCTCGTCGCTTCCTTCAAAAGCTATACGTATACTTCTTTTACTTCGATAAGGTACAACATATACTGTTCAAGAAATGGTTCGCTAGAGCACCAATTAGTTCAGATCTCATAAAATATTTATTTTGTAGTTATTTCGAAGCACTTGGGAAAAAACACCAAGAAGTACAACCTTCATTTCCTTTGTCATTAGATTATGAAAACAATAAAAAGTTGTTTTTACACACCGATTGTTATTTTGAAAATTTTTCTATCTAATATCTTCTCAATGATCCAGAAAAGAATTTTTAAAAGTGCAGTATCAAGGGTTTATAGAAACTTGATTCAGTTTTTTGCGATGCCATTACTCGTCTAAGTCACGAACAAACAGGCAAAAGAATGACTACGAAGCATACACTCCTTTTTCTTGTGAAAATGCTATCAACTACTAACAATCATTGTTATGAACACTGGTATACCACATTCTATAGAGAATTCTTTTCTGCCCTTTTAAGACCTTTTCTGGATTTATGAGACGGTCTTAGAGAAAAATATTCTCGAAATAGCCATTAATATTTATAAACCGGCCTGTCCACGTAACGGTATACCTTGATGGGCGAAGTTGACCTACTCAATCTGCCAAAACCAATATGACCATCATGTAGAACGATGCCGATAACATATAGAAATGCATATTTCTTTACATACTTATGCTAATTCTTGGAAGAAAAGGCACTAGGAAAGCGATGTGTCGTGCAAGAGATAAAAATCAATATTTATTATGATTTCTTATTTTCGAGTTTTTCATATATATAAATCTGTCCTTTTCGAAAGCTTTCACATCAATTAATAATGCTTTCATAGCTCTGTACAATGATAATAAGGGATCTATCATTCTGCGTTTCTTCAGAAATTTATTTACGTTTGTAAATGTAATCCATTGGTGAAGGTGATTCCATCACGAAAATTCCTAATAATTCATTTTTAGCCAAGAGTAATTGTTTTTTTTACTTCAAAAAGCAGTGCTCTAAATACAGTTTTTTACGCTCTATCCAACCAACGAATTGAGTGTTCTTATAAGCATTTTGGCAGGTGAAGAGAACCGTGACGGAATCACCATCGAATGATTAAGTTTTCCCACAAAATTTTGAAATATTATCTTTTTCTGCAGTTATGATGCTGAGCAGATATGAAAATGTGTAGAAGCGATGTTAGAGCCCGATTAGCTAATTTAATAGATGCTTTATAGTGATTCCATGTATTTTCTATCATATAAGTGATTTGAGGGACATTAGCATAAATAGTGACCGGTCCTAGCACAACTTAGCTGAATCGTTCCCATGAGTTTGCCTGATATTTTCATAGTAGATAGACCTAGTAAAGTTAGGTAGAAACTAAAAATATCAGCTCAAATGGATGAATAATTATGGAGATATAGACATTGTAATATAGGTATCCAGCAACATTTGACCTACTCACGAAGAAATATTTTCAACTGTCAAGTTGCTTTTGAGTTCGGACTCTGTGCATAAAATAGACTCTAATGAGATATGAAAAACTTCAAAAGGATAAGTCCTCTTAGACCTTCTGCCCGGAGTTATAGGCATTTTACTGGAATTTCGCCTATAGCATGATATACACCAACAAATCGAATGACGGTGTTTCGACCTAAGATTTTACCCATAGATAGATCTATTGGTCAGTAGAATGTCCTGAAAATTTCAGCTCAAAAGAATGTTTTCTTCTCGAAATATTAAAGTTTTAAAAAACGGAAAATTCTAGCATCATTTGTAAGCTATGGATGATTTTTGAGACCTTGATGTTTTGAGAAGAGAACATTCTTTTGAGCTGAGATTTTCCGAACATTCTAATGACCAATAGATCTGCCTGTGGGCAAAATCTTAGGTCGAAACACCGTCATTCGATTTGTTGGTGTATATCATGCTATAGGCGAAATTCCAGTAAAATGCCTATAACTTCGGACAGAAGGTCTAAGAGGACTTATCCTTTTGGGGTTTTTCATATCTCATTAGAGTCTATTTTATGCATAGAATCCGGACTCAAAGCGATTTGACAGTTGAAAATGTTCCCTCGTTAGATGGCTATATCTAACATATTTTGACGTTTTCAAAAAAAAGGATTTTTATTCTATAACAATCGTGACGGAAAATTTTTCTTCATTGATTTTAAACGTATGACAACAGATTGTTTATTCTAAGAAACTATCTTTAAATTTTTAAAGAAAAAGAAAGATAGAAAACATAATCATTTCTCAAACGTGATTCCGTCACGAAAAATGTGATTCCGTCACGACACCTTTTTCTGCCCAGAAAATCAGCAATGCATATTTTGCAATTTTTTTTTGTTTTTTTATATAGCTAGGCATCTCAGCTACAACTCTTGTAGAGAGAGTTTTGCCACTACATTTATAGTTGAGCTAAGTTTTTTTACTCTTTGAACAGCACTCAAAATCAAAGTCCATTTTGTGTGATTCTGTAACGTACCTATGTGTCAGTCATAAAACAAACACTAAAACTTGAAATCCTATGAAACTTTCAGCATGCGTAGAGGAACTCAACTTACATAGCCTGTGAATATTTTAAGCCTTATCCTATTTCATTTCGTTGAGATATTACAAAGACACGAGGAAAAAACGTGATTCCGTCACGCTTGGACAAGCCGAAACCAGCTTTTACTACATTTACATGATATAAGCATGAGGAAAGCAAAGATCGTGCTTCTTAATACTTTTTACAAATATTTCAAAATAATTTGATATTTCGAATTTATAAATTTCTTAATATGATCTTTCATACATAGAAATAAATATGACTTAATTGGTGGTCTGACAAACCATCTCTTCAACGTTATGGGTTATGTTTTGTAGAAGTAAAATAAAGATACATATAACCTTCGAAGAAAGCTACACGAACCCAGATCTTTTTTTAGGACTTTAACTAGAACTTAATGTAATATCTACGGACAAAAAAATCATTGAAATTCGAAGGGAGCGTTTGAAAAAAATTCTCTCCTAAGTCACAAAAAATTTTCGGAGTTTTTCGGAGTCGGAGTCCGAAAAAATTTCTGACCGGAGTCGGAGTTGGAATCGGAATCGCAAAAACAATATTTTCGGAATCGGGTCGAATTTCGGAATTGAAGAAAAAAAAGTTTAGGAATCGGGTCGGGTTTCGGGATCAAATAATGCGACTCCGCAGTTCACTATTTAGCATTCACACAAGTGTTAGCTAATATCTATATGTAGGAATGGGAACACGATTTAATGAAAAGTCAAGAAAAATATAACGGAATGTATGAAAGGTTTGTAATACATTTATTATACTCAAATAAATCAGAAGTAAATGCAGTAATAATTAATATTTATTTATCTAT